TCTGAAATTTCCTTGGAACGGAGGCTGTAACGCTGTTGGACCAACAATCTTAGGACGAACGGCCGGTTTATAACCAATGCCACGGCGCGGTCGTAAAAACAGAAAACCGCTCAGACTTTCCGCAAAATCGTGCCGTCAGTCTCGAGTGCCGTGATTTGTTCCTTTCTTCCTCTGGAATTCTCTTCTTCCTGAAACCTCCCCCAATATTTGCCGCGATAACAAATTTCGAGCGAAGAATCGAGGTGGTATCCATCACTCGCGAATAGCGTTGCTCGTTCAACGAGATCCGGTAAACAAGTTGAACCAGATTAAGAGCGAGTGCAACGAGCAAACCAGCAGAGTTTTTTCTCGTAGCACGCACATCGATCTCTCCTTTCTCGCGCGTACTTGCGCTTCCGCGTGCGCGTCGTCGAAGGACAAGACGAGAAGGGGTTGCTAAACGCGGGCAGAGAAGGACGAGGCGCTTCATCTTCTCGAGTGTCGTTCTCCGTTTCTTTTCTCTTCCTTGAATCTCCACCGGATTTGGACTTTCTTGTAAACAAGCTCGCGGGAAGAATGCGTTATCTCCGGGAATGGACGACGCTGTCGCGACTGCTGATCCTTCGCCGCCGACTTTTTCTTCGTAATTTTCGTTCGTAATTTTTATTAACGAACCAAGCCGAATTCGACTGGTTATATTCGGTTTTCAAAAGAGTTGACGATATGGATGTTTAAAGGGGATTGTTTCTGTCCAAGTAGAAGGGCTCGTGATTTTCATGTGCGAGAAAGGACAAGCGAAAGAAACAGAGAATTCAATCGAATCCTCCTTGCCCTTAGAAAAACTTCAAAGGGGTTGTTTCAACGAGACGTTGTTTTAGTCTCAACTGGTGACTTTTCGCTACAAACTTTTTCTTTTCTCTCTCTCTGGTAAGAGAAATAAAAAAATAGAAAAAGAGAAGAACCACAGAGTTCGATTCGAATTCGATTGAATTCCGCGCGTGTTTAGAAAGAGAACTGACGAGGTAGAAGAGTTTTCACCGACCTTTTCCTGGAAAGAAACAGAAAAGAGAGAAAATACAAAATTCAACTTCGAACTCTAGTCATTTCCTTATTGTTGTAAGACGTCAGATACAACTTTGCTTTTCTTTTCATACAAAGGGAAGAAATACACAGTTCAATTTGAATTGAATGAAATTGTGTTCATTTTTGGGAAGAGTTAATATCGCGAATGTTACATCTTGGAACATTCCCGAGTTCCTTTATCTCAGAAATATCGAAAATATAGAGAGTTCGATTCGAATCCTGCTTCGCATTCCCTGAGGAATCGACCACGTGGACGTCGAGGGGTGGCTGTTTCATCGGCGCAGAAGGGTTTAGAAGTGAACTTTCATCGCGATGATACGCGAACGATTTGGTAAATAACGTTTCCAGGTAATCGGGCGAATAAAACGCGCGTTGCGATTAGGAAGACAATTTGCAGGGGGCCGGTCTAAAATTGGAAGATACCGGCGGGAACGCTCATTGCCATAACAATGAGCCAACGGCACGCAACGATTCCCGTCACGGGGGATCAGCACGAGGAATCGTCGCGTCGGCGCGTTTCCACGTAGACCGAACGATCCTCGTCCATGCCGTCTAACGACCGTACAAATTGAACGGACGTTGCCGCGTACACGGGGCCCGGCTTAGCCAACTTCCTGAGTGCGCAGAAAACGGCCGACTGCGAAATGAATCGATTTCTCTGCCCGCTCTCGCAACACCTCCTGCTTTATCGTGCATCCTATTCTCATATACTTCTTCACATTATGCGAGATACTTATTTTTGGGTAAAAAGAGAAACAAAGCGAGTGTATTCTTCTGATCGTCCAATTTAAGAGAGGAATTGGGTTACTCGCGATGAAATTCATCGTCTGTCATTATTTGTTTCAATTAATTCATCGAGGAATATCAAAGATGTTTCGATTCAACGAGCGTTGAAAAACAACGTACGTCGACAAGTGTTGCAAATGAAATGTTCATCAACCGAGTCGACGAAGGAAATTATCAGAATTCTCTGTAAAAATTGTAAAGAAATACGCTGGAAAAGTAGACGAGCCAATTACTTTGACCCCATGAAACAAATTCAATTTAGAAATGAGACAAAACATTCGCTACGTCCGCAATGGAATTTCGCCATCGTGATTTCAATTAATACCAACTTCCATTTGACACGATCCAATCTCTTTCTCTCCTTTCTGGATCGAGACCAATTCTCCAAGCGAGGCCTACTCCGTACTCGCAAAATTATCAATCCTGATCAATTTAATTAACCTACATACACGTCGAAGGGAACACAAACGTCGCTGTGTGATCCAGTGACTGAAATTTTGCCACCGTTCCGGTTCGCAAAAAAAGAAAAGAAAAAAGAAAAAAAAAAGAAGAGAGAATAGAAAAGAAAAAACTGCGCCGACTGCAAACGAACTTGGTCACATTTTCGTATCCGCAATATCAAAAGCGATACGCGTTTCGGTCGATGACTATGTACCCATCGTATACCAGCTACCCGGTACGTAACATCAAGGTACACGTACGGGCGTATGTGCGCGCATACTGAATGCACACATATCTGTGCGAACAATGGCCCGATCCAGGAGCATATAACGGCCGCCGGTGCCTTACAGCGCGCTATATGCGCCGGTGAATGACGAGCATTCGAGCGAATGGGACCAATCAGGCTGATTGGCCGACCGGTATTTACATTTCTGCGGGCAAGTCTGCCTCTCTCTCTCTCTCTCTCTCTCTCTCTCTCTCTCTCTCTCTCTCTCTCTCTCTCTCTCTCTCTCTCGATATAGCCTGCTTCGAGCATCGCCAGGAGATTCGAGTAACGAGAGAATACCGAGGGGCTGCTGTTGCTGGCTTTCGCGAACCGTTGCACAACCGGAGCCGAAAAGTCGTCTTCGTCGTCGTCGTCGTTGTCAGTCTCTTCCCGTACCATTATCCTCGAAAGCACAAACGCTTTGACGCGACGCGATCGATCGTTAATTAAACGGTGTAACTTTCACGAAAGCTTGCACAGCCTCGTTTCCACCGGTAATTTTAGTCCGTGTTCACACGCCAGGTAGCAGGTTTCGCGGTTTACGATCGTGGCCAAAGAAGTTGCTTACCCGGCGGGGAAAGTTGGACACGGGAAGTTTGTCCGGAGGCTCGTTGCCGGAAGTTGCCGGTATCTCCGTTGGAACGAGGCCTCGCCAAGGAAAGTTTCTCCGTATCTTCCAGGCATAACGTTACACGGAAACGTCGGCGATGTTTATAGTGCTTGAGATGTAACTACCTTGTTGGAGGAAGCATGAGTTTGATTGATTCGTTGTTTTTCGCAAAGTCAGTAGTAGCGATCGTAAAAATAAGAACGCGTATTAATTAAAAGTTTCACGTATAGAGACGAGACGGTATTTTTATAGTATTAATTTATTTCAAAGAAAAGTCACTCAAAGATTACCGAACTAGCCAATCTTTTCAATGTTCCTCAAAAATGTTTATATTTTACCAATTATAATATTATAATTTCTATATTGATATTTAATAAAAAATCTATCGCATCTTATCGAGCTTGAGCATTTAGCAACAAATATCGTATACTTGCGTTATCAAATTAATCGTTTCACTGAATCTTCTGTGCTTCCATCTACTTTAGACAGCAAGTTGCTCAGTTTGTTAAACCTCTTGCGCTGGCAACTGATTGCGGACCATAACGAGTGACCAAACCGTACACAATAATTCGTCGCTTTCTTTTCGAACTCGTCGGTGTGACATCACTGGATAGAAATTAGAATAGAGAAGTAATAAATTTATTATTTGTTTCGCCTGGATTATACTTAAATATACTTGAAACTGAGAAAATATTACAATTTCGGGACAAAAGATTCTCGACGTGCGTGACACGTCACTCCAGCGCAAGAGGTTAAACATCGAGCTTCACATTTGTTCTCACTGCCTCGATTTCTCTTGGCATCTTCCCACGAAAGCATAATAGTTAAGTACTTCCCACGAACGTTTGCCAGAGTGGTTTGCAGTCAGTAATTCGATGGAATTTAACAAACTGCCCAAATCTTTCCGAATAAACGGAAAGAAGCGATTGGCAAACGGACATACATACATACGTACATAGCTGGTCGCGTCGGGCGAGAGATCGAGTGAAACGCGAACCGTCTGTCGCGTCTCGCCAACAATCGCACCGTGTCGTTGCAAACGGATTTCAAAAAGGACGATTACGAAAGAGGCGGAGCCCCTTTGAGGCGACATCGTCGGGCTAATAATCGCCCTCGAACCACCCTCGAGCAAGGCCTGGCGCGCGTTTTATCTCGCGACGTGAGGACGGCACACGGCAGAAAGAACACGCCAGAGATGATCGTTTACGATACCTCCGACGAAGAAACGATTCCGTAGCAAGATTCGGAGTTAATTGCGTTGTCGCCGCCTCGTAGTGCCTTGTCCCGTGTCCCGACACCTTTTCCTCGCCCTCGGGCATCACCTCCCGCGACTTCCATCTCGTCACACCGCGTCTTTATCGAGGTTTACAAATCGTCTACGACCAACGAATGCTAAATACAAGGGCACGCCAGTGACGGACAAACAAATTTTGTGACAAAGACGGTAAAATTTAAGTCCTTCTCGAATATCGATGTATAATATTTCGAGACTTTGATATTTTACAGGTATTTGAGTTAGTATTAATGTAATAACGTAATACAAATATACTTCCACTAAATTAAAATAAATAAATAACTGACTAAATAAATAAATACTTATTTATGCTGTATTCTATTCTATTCTGGTCTTCACAAGGAAGAACGTAGTTCTCTTTTTTTAAGTATGGAAATGAGTGGAAAAGGAATATTTGAGGGAGAAATGCTCGCTTTATTCTTAATTTGCTCGAACAAGTAATATGTCATTTATGCAATTATCCCGTATTAATTCTGAATAATGTAATTTGAAAATAAAAGGATCTCCTCATGTAATTTGAACCAAATAAAAACTGTACATACCTTGAAATGAAATTATAACTGTAGAGTAATAGGAAGAAAATTGTAACCGTAGGATAACTAGAACAACACTCATAATTTTATAGAATGACTTGAACAAAATTTTAGTTATACACTTCAACAAAATTTATGATTCTATCACTTCAACAAAATTTATGATTCTAAAAGTTGCCTAAGAGCACTGCCCGTCACCAAACGTAGCTGAATACATACTGAATGTTCCAGCTCGCATCGCTTCATAGTTTGTATATAATTTTCATTTGTCGCAGGCATTCCAAGAATACACGACACAGAGCGTTCTTGAAAGAAAACTTGTTGGATGTCACTGTTTACTGTCGATAGCCTAATGATAATCCGACAGTCACAACATTGTCATCTGTTTCAATATGCTTCTCAGACTTCTCAATTATATAAATCCGATTCCGATTCCATTGAAGCACGATTTTTTAATCTAATTTGTGTTTTTTTATTCTATAACATTTGCCGGTATTTTATAGGTATTATACCGAAATACGGTTATATTGGTATCTGAAGCATTTAGTTTCCATTATAATAATAATTACCTAAATATAATAAAATAATAAAATAATAAAATTTAATAATAATAAAATAATAAAATTTAATAATAATAAAATAATAAATTTCAATAATAATAAAATATTAAAATAATAAAATTTAATAATAGTAAAATAATAAAGTAATAAAATTTAGTAATAATAAAATTATTAACCCCGGTAATAAAATATTTACCTAAAAACATCTATATTTTTTTTCAGTATTTGTAATACCGATTCGATCTCTGCTTCACGAAGAATATCACACATCGTGCATGTCAAATATAATTGTGCGCTTTTTATATTGATCAATATGATTTTTGATTTACTCACATGTAATTCCCACTTTTAGATGAAACGATTATTCGTCTCGGAATTGACGCTATATTCAAATACCAAAAGACAGAGCTATCTATTGATTACGTAACAATGGATGCGTTTTCTGATGAACCAGCATCCTGATGAATGTGTTCGAACAATAAAGAATACAAGAGTAGCTACATCGTTCTTTGGATGTTGTCTTCATTGATGAACACCAATTCGTGTATTCGCAGAATGTTGGCTTAAATGTAACAGACATCTTTTAGCGTAATTACATAAAACTCGCTCAAAAAGTCACACCAATAAATTAGAAGGTAATATTACAAACCAAGATTTTAAAGATTCATGCAGGTTCTTTACAATAAAGAAACTTGTTTCTCTTCAGAAATCGAACATTAATTACATACTCCTTGGAGAATGAGGAATGAATCGATTCAAATTCCACTGGACAATTTTTCTTACTCCAACTTCCCAGTCCATTGAGACAGCCGAGATTTGAAAGAAAGCAATTCGTAGAGGAAGAGGTTTTCAGACGATTCGCGACGCAAACTACAAAGTCTGAAGTTATTACGGTTAAGCGGACGTTGCCGGTGACGCGACAGCGGCACAACGCAAACGACGCATCGGGAGTAGCTAATTAATAACCGCGGGTAACAAGCAGCAGATGGAATGATGGCTGAAACTTGGGTAGCACGGACCCCTTGGCAATGGTCGGTCGACCCAACTGGTTTCGGGCACACACCCACGCGCTGCCCATTATTGCGCACGTGTGGTCCGGATGGTCGCGTGCATGCTATTAGCGAAAAGGAGTGTACCGAACACGTTACCGTTCCACGCGGTGAAACAACTGTCCCCTTCTTTCGCTGGCGACCTTTCCGAAGCGCGGTGGCCGTGAAAGGCGAGAATACACCGACGAGCACACCGGTTTCCGGTTCTGAAGCTGCAGCAGCCACCCGTCTTCGTCTATCCTACGAACCGGCACCGGTTTTATTTCGACTGGCTGTTCATTAGGCCGCTAATTAACGCTTAGCGTCGGACGTGTTTGCATTCACGCTGTCCTGCAGCACAGAGGGACACAGATCGTCTCGTTCCTTTTCTCGCGTTAAGCAGCCAGCTGAACCATTATGGTCATCCGTTCGTAGTCCGAGGTTCTTTTCGACGATACGTACATACATACATACGCTCGATGTTCCCCGAGGTATTTCTTCCCCGTCGAGGTGAGAATTGGACGTCTCTGTAGCTACTACCTAGAGAATTCATGGGTAATCATCTATTCAAACGAACTCTATTCAACTCGAGGCGAGAAGACTCTCTCTGGCTTTCCGTATACCTGGCAAAGAGATAGAAAGAGAACGAGAGTGGAACGTGTGAGATTCTTCGATCAACGTTTCTTACGCGGAAGGTTCATCGACGAGCCGAGTCAATTACAAGAATCAGAGATCGCCAGAGCCACTTGCAGTGCGAGTGGCTCGTGAAGCACGTTTCGGAGTGTTAACGCGCGCCGCGTAATATCCCTCCGCTCGGCTTTAATGGCGACATACGGAGTGGCCGTTTCGCGAATTCGGTGAATATATTCAGAGACAATGTTATTCCAGCTGGCCGTGCGGCCATATATCAGCAACGATTCTATGCGCGGTCGCGTGCGGAGTAATTACTTTTCGGTGCGCGGAGGCATCGCTCAAAAGGCAACATTTGCACGCGACGTGAAACCGACGTGGCAACGAAACGCACGCACGTATGCCCGTACGCGCGCACACGTAGACACTGCACGCGTGTGTCGTCCGTGTACGGAAAGCACGAAAAAAAAAAAAGAAGGAAAATAAAAAAAGGAGAACAGAGAAAAAAAAAGCACGCGGCTGCTGCCACGTTTGGAGGATCGAGGGCGACAATGGCTTCCTGTTTCATCCCTGCGGGGCGTCCAGCTGTCTGTCTGGACTATGGTTGCGCGAATGAATCGTCCTCCGACTCCATTGTGCCCGTTTTCCAGTTTTGCGTCGGGATTGTTGCCCGCCATGACATCTTCACCGACCGATCCTTCATCATTTTAGCGAACTGTTTTCCCTAGCCCTCTCCACTCCCCGTCCTTTCGAAAAGTGACGCTTTTATTCGGCATCGTTGACTTTGGACGCTACCGTTGAAACCGTTCCATGAATTTTATACCTCTGCCGGGCCATTGTACGGCAAGTTGGTTCGTCGAATTTTTTTTTTTTTCCTTTTTGGGAAACCTTTTCGTTCACTTGCGAAGAGGAACCGTCAATCGTCAGTCACCGTTTGATACCAATAGCGATTGATCAGAATGTTAGATGCAAATTTCTTTTCAAAAATAAACCACGTCTTGGAAGATCAACTTACAACGGAGAGTAGTGAAATAATAGATATACTGTTCGTGCTTCGTTAATACTAATATTCCAATAATTGAGATGTTTTTGGGAAATTTGAAAAATCTACAAAATATGTACGCTACATAATACTCAAAGATACATGTAGTTATAATATTTATTTAGTGAACGAAACAGATTTTTATTTTTTACTTGCCCCTCTCCTTCGTTTCTTCAGTTGAAATATAAAATTCACAGTCTACTAATAATATCGTGTGAAAATATTGCAAAGTAAGCAACGTCTCCCTTTATTCACTGCCATATTTCTCTCTCTCCCACAAAATCTTTATCGTAAATCACCGAATTAAAGCCTACTTTCCCGATCCCTCGAAGGTCTTTTTAAAATGATAATGTATCGCGGCGGATTTTTACGACAATCTTCTCTCTCTTTCTCACGCGCTACCTCGCTTCGTTCTCGCCGTCTTTCTTTTTCGTTTTCGACAGCTCCATGCGCCGGATAATCGAACTCTAGCCGACTGTACCGACGTCATCTTTCAAAGGCAACCCCGCGTTTTTCGATTTCGGGAGGATCGTCGCGTGTATATACGGGATGAGCTACGGCAAACGAGGTATTTCCAAAGGATGGAACTGGGAGGCGTACGTCGCGAATGCAGCTCGCGAACGCGTGCACGTAATGACCTTACGCGGCGCTTTTTTTACGACGCTTATCAAATGCAAATCCTTCTTTATTGCGATTGGTATTCTTATTAGGCCTTCTTTCTCCGCTCCACGTCATCCGCACGGTTCTTTCTTTCTTTCTTTCTTTCTTTCTTTCTTTCTAGTCCCCTTGCCACGTTTTCTCCACCTCGTCCCCCCCCCCTCCACTGCACGTTTCTTCCTCTCCGCAACGATAAGTCGACGTTCTCTGCCGCTTCGCGTGTAAGAGGATTTCAAACGTGACGGCAACCCCTTGCCGTATAACAGAATAGCCGGGAGAACGCGAACAACCACCTTTTAACTTCCCATTTGGATTACGCTGGCCGTGGCGCGCTCGTGTTACATTATTTTTCGCGTCTGTCCGCGCTGTTCCTTCGTGGAGAACGTTTAAAAGAAAGAAAAAAAAAAAAAAAAAAAAGAAGAAAGAAAAAAGAAAAAGAAAGAAAGAAAGAAAAAAAAGAAAGGATCTTCTTCGTTTCTACCCTCCCAAATTTTTCACCCCCATTGCACGGTCCCCTCGCTCCAAGTGACTCTTGGACGTTCACGCAACGCGACCTGATCTCTCCTCGCGTTAATACGCAGGATATACACCGTCAGGAGGCTCTCTATCTGGCCTCTGCTCGGTGCACGAATAATTGTCGTTAATTGCCGCGGGATTGTCGGGTTTTCGGGGGAATTCTCGTTTCCACCTCCCCCTCCGCCCCCGAAACGGTGCTTTCGGGATGGAGTAACGAGGCCGACGAAATGAATGCGCTCGTTTTCACCTCCGACGAGTTGCGGTAATAGAGGGTGAATCACCGTCCGGGCAAAATGCTAGGACCTTTACCAAAAACGCTATGTTAGCTGACATTCTCGCGTTGCGTGAAAAGTCATCGGAATAGGGTGACCCGAGACTCGAATTTCGGCGACCGGTGGATCTTTCTCGCTGAGAAACATCAGGTGGGTATCATTCGTGTGTGTCGTGAGTGTTTCCTTCATCGTTACGTGTCCGTATCGACGCTTTTTCTTTCGCCAATCTTCACCCCTCGGCGAATGTTTCCATTACCCGATGTCGATCGTTCGTTGCTTCCTCTCCCCCTGTTTTCTTTTTCTTTTTCTTTTTCTTCTCCCTTCTCGCCGGCAGCCCTTCACGCTTTTCGCCCTACACACGAATCGATCAATTTGTCAAAATTTCGACAT